GGTAAAATGTTGAGTTGGAAAGAAATGGTTGATTTTGATACTTGGGATTGATTTTGGAAAGATAAGGCATTTTGCCCTAAATGCGTCAAATATTGATTTTTTTTTATAAATAATGAAATGGATGCTAAAATCGTAAAATTTGATTGATATTGATGAGTATGGTGGATTTAGATATGTATTATCACTCACCTCTTGAAATTTAGAAAATTTATCTGTATTGAGAATTGTATATCTGTTTTGGGCTATCGGTGGAGGGTAGCTCTGATTGTTGTAGAAATTGCATGAGAATTAAGAGAATTGAGACTATTTTTCTCATTCATTAGCATCGATCATTATTTCACATTTATACATTGGAGATGTATATTGTTTGAGAAAAGAGGTGAATCTGGGAAGGAGTTGTTGTTGTATCAAATAGGTTGGCATGTGTGTCCAGGGTGGAAGTCCAGAAAACCAAGCGTATACATGAGTGCCGATCCCGCAGACAAAATTTCTGTGAAATGGTAATAGTAGTGCTTGTATAGCCTACGTTTACATGGTTCCCGATTTACAGTTTCCTCCGGACGAAATTTTCGGGAAAGGTTGTATTGTTTTGAAATTTCCAGAATATGATTCACCGCCCTATCTTTTATTCTAAAGGAAGTGATTTGTGATATTATTATGGCATTGCATAATTTTGGAAAGAGATATAAAATTGTTTTGGCACGAGTATTGCATGTGCATTCACTTTATAGCTTTGTTAAAATTTATATACTATGTTGGATTATTTCTACTAGGCTTCAGCTCACCCTACGTGGGAAAAACATTTCAGGTGCTGATGATATGCCTCCACAAAGGCAATAGCTTCAGAGGACTTAGAGCAATAGCTTCATTTTGTGTACTTGTCATATTTATTTTTGTACAAGCCATGGGCTTTAAATTGTATTGGATCTAAATCCACTTTTGTTGTAACCAGGCATTGGTGCATATGTTTCTCATTATGAATGTATACCGCATATGTTTCTCTTTTGTAAACTCAATTGGATTTAATGATAGATAATTACTTTATCGTTGTTGTCGTTTATTGATATTGTGGATAGATTATTGTAATTATTTCAAGGTGTTACAACAATGGTTGAAAAAAAAAAAGAAAGAAGGGAGAGAGAAAGAATGAAGAAAAATGGATCAAAATGACTTTTTAAAGTGTTGATCCACAGCAGACTGCTCGAGCGATGAAACAAGCGCTCTAGCATCAAAGACACAAGACTGCTTGAGCGACATAACCTTCGCTCGATCGCAGAACTCATACTCCCAGAAGTTCAGACCATAAAAGAACAAATCGCTCTAGCGAACACTTTTACACTTGAGTGAATTTCATCAACTCCCAAAATCTCTAGACTGCGGACAAAAGTACTGGATGCCCCGAAAGATTGCTCGAGCGAACAGCATTCACTCAAGCGATGAACAAAATTTTTAGAGTGCTACACTTTGATACGTCTTCAACCAAGTTAAATGTTAATAATTAGAAAACAGAAGCTAAAAATCTCACTTCCCTACTTCATAATCACTTTTTTCAATTTATTTAAATTATTCCTATCTTATAAATTGTAAGCATAAACTGCATTACAAATAGATTTCCAAAAAGAAGAAAAAATATATATAATATGCAATTCGATAAGCTACGCCAACCATCCCTTATCACCACTCACTACAAGAAAAAAGCCATTACTGATTAGTTAAATACAATGTTTTCAAAACATTGTCTCTAATCTCAGTAAAACAGCACCGTTTGGGTCAATTTATTGACACGATTCAATACTCCGTCCCTTTCAAAACGTCTCTCACTCTCACGCTATGTGTTGGATTGAGTGATTGGGAGAGAAAAGAAAAGAAATGGAGAGATATGTATTTCTCTTATTTGTTTGGATAACTAAAGTGGAGAGAAATAGGGAGAAACGAAGAGAAACAGAGAAAATCTCATTTTTCTTATAACCCTCATTTTCTATTTTTCCAAAAGTGGAGAGATTGGGAGAGAAAAGAAATCAATATTTTCATAATACCAATTTTGCCCCTGTTAAAATAAAATAAATAAAATAATTGAAAATATGAAAAGGTTATTTTGGTAATATAACATAAAATAATTTCTTTTCTTTCCTCTTATGAAATCTAACCAAATAAGAAAGAGAAAAATCATAATCATTTTTTTCTTTTATCTCTTACTTATCCGAACAAAAAAGAGAGAAATCACAGTCATATCATATCATATCATTTCATTTCATTTCTTATATCTTAAGTAATCCATTCTATCTCCTAGTTCCCGAACATAGTGTCACTCTTCAACAACTCAGACTCTCTCACTCGCTCAAAAACCCATTCGATTTGAAGCTCAGAAACCCTCACTCTCACTGATTTGAAGCTCTCACTCTCGCTTGATTTTAAACACTCTCTCTCCTTTGATTTGAAACAAATTCGCTTGATTTAAGAACTTGTTGCAGATTTTGAAGGCCACTGGATTTGCACTTCTCCTCCGATTTTGGTTCTTCTCTCCTTTGATTTTGTGAGTTTAGATTTTGGTCCTTTGGTCAATCCAGATTTTGAAGAATGTATACATTGGAACTGATATCTTGCATGTAACGCCCTCAAAAAATAACATTAAACCCAACAATTAAGACATGCATTGATAATCAAAAGTTCCACATTCCTTTATACATTAGAGTTCCATTACATAAGTATTACATGTTAGCATCAAAACAAAATGCCTTACGGGCTTACAGCTTTCCAAGTCAACACTTGGTTACAACAAAAGAGTTCTAACTCATACACATTAAGCCCTTGGCTTGAAGTTACATGTAATACATCAAAAAGTAAAACGACAAAACTGTGTCCGCCTCTAGCCTCCCAAGCTATGTCCTTGGAGGTGGCATGCTACCTGTACCTGAAAATGATGTTCCCATATAGGGTGAGCCACAGCCCAGTAGAAATACACTAAACCAAATATGAACAATGACTAAAAGATTAGCAGTTGATAGTTGGTCCACACTGATTCTTTCCTTTATCACACTTTACATTTTCATGACATACAAGTCCATAGTACAACTCATTTTCCAATATCTTTCAATTTTCAAATTTCAACCATGGCTCAGAACCTGGCCAAACAACTCATATGAGACAATAACTCATATCAAACACTTCCCATATCATATTAGATAAGCATACGAGCTATATCACACAACAACAGATAAGCATACAAGCTATATCATCACTTCCACAGATATGCATATGAGCACTATCACACTTCCAATAACAAGCATATGAGCTGTAAATCTACGAGTTCATCCCCTATCTTCTCCCAACACTAACCGGTTTAGAGGTACATCCCTATCTTCCCCTAAACCGCGGAGTACATCCCCCATCTCCTCCTCTACACATAACGTATATAAACACATTGGTTCTATATACAATCACCCAATACATACAGTTAATGTATTCTATTAACCGTCAAGTTCCATGACATATCCATGATAGTTTCCGTTTGCCTAATCATCATGCATTGTCTACAACAATCTCGACTATCCTCCACCGATAGCCCCAAGCAGTTATTTCTAAACAGAAAATAAATGCACAATGGATATTCAATCAACATTTCATTTCCTCATTTCTCACAATTAATTATCCCAATTAATCAAAACAATGTAATTAGGTCAATTCCCATAATTAACATTTCAACCCTTAGGTCCCATTTTCATCAATGACTTAACATTTATTCCATTTCTCTACTCCAAACATGCATCTAGGTTTATTATAAGTAAAACCCCAACTTTTGTAAAATTACACAAAAGCCCCAAACTTTCACAAAATTATCAAACCAACCCCAACATCTCAAAATACCAAAATTTAAAGACAAAACCCATAGAGAGGAGTAGGATATCCCTACCTCAAATTCGGAGCTTCAAGGGAGAAGAAGACAAAACCCAACGTGCTCCAAAACCCGAGATTTTCAGATTAAAAAGTAGCCCTCGACGATCAACAACCTTTTTGTAAAGGCCAAAGATGATCAAACCACTCCTACTAGATCAAAACCTAGAGAGAAGGTAGTATCTAGAGAGAGAGGCTCAACAATGGTGCTTTTGGAAAAGTAAGAGAGAGAAGAGAAAGTGAAAAAGTGATTTGAAGAGTCACAACTTCGGGACTTTAACCCAGGTCTCCGCTCGAGCGTAGAACACCCCGCTCGAGCGGCCACTCACAGACTTCCGCTCGAGCGGACAAACTCCCGCTCGAGCGCAGAATGCACTCGCCCAGCACTTTTTGCAGAACCAGGCCTCCGCTCGAGCCCCCAACTCTACGCTCGAGCGACCACTCACGCAGCTCCGCTCGAGCGGCCAACTACACGCTCGAGCGTACAACACTGCACAACAAAAACTGGATGGGTGTATTCTCCGCTCGAGCTCCAAAACCCCCGCTCGAGCGGACAGGCCAAAATCTGGGCAACTAGTTTTGGTTTCTAAACTCAACCAACCTGTAACAAACCTGCCCAACACATCCCATAACTCAAATACTAAGTAAAAAGGATGTAAACAAGATAATAAACAACTACCAACATCCACGGACACATGTCCGGATCACTGTATAACAAGGGTAAACCCGGGATCGCTATATTGCATATTTTGTTGTTGCTCTGTTTTGTTGCAGATCATATATTGGAATTGATACGTTAGAATTGAGTTTCGATTTTGAAGATTTTGCTCAATCGGTCGCTCAGATTTGAAATTTTTTATTATGTTATATATATATATATATATGTATAATACATAAAATCATTGAGTACATCATCCAGATCTCACTCAGATTTGCAACTTATAGAACAAATCTCGCTCATGGATGAACAATACACAAAATCTATTTGATATATATATACATGTATATGTGTTCTCTCTAATATTGAGTTCATTGTTTTGGTTCTATATATATATGTGTGTGTGTGTATAAATCTATATTCTATAATAGTCAAACTTTTCCTCGCTAAAATGGAGAAAAAGAGAGGTTAGCTATTCAGGATAAAGCGAAAGCAAAACCACAATCAATCAACTTGGTTGAATTTGATTACATCCAAAAGTTCAAGTTGCTGAAAAAGACACTAAGAAAAAAATAATAATAATAATAATCAAAATCAGAATTCATGGCTTCAATTTGGATTTAAATCAGTATGCTTGAAATTAATATTTTGAAAACACTTTTGTGACTCTTCTTAGTTACTAAAATTTGATTATTTATTTATTGGTTAATTCTCTTGATTTAGCTACCTCAAATATCAAATATATGTGCTTCAAACTATGTATGGATATATTTATTGGAATTGAAAGTTTTATGTGGCAGGCTTTAAGATGTCTTAAAGAGAATTGTGTTCTTTTAGTGGATATCCTATTTGGCATCTGCATTAACATTGTCAGAATAAAGCAGACATCTCCCACAAGTAGGTAGTGTCATTTTGTTATCGTTCTTATAATCTCTTGTTATTGAGAAAAAAACTTGTACTAAAAATATATAATGTGCAATTCTTGTTGCACCTATTAAGTGAAAGATTCTTCATCATTAGATTACATATACAAAAAAATACCACATACTAATCAAAGTAGGAGAAATCTTCATGAAGGATTTCATGATATTTTTTTCATGATTCCTAGTATTATTCTTAAGTGTTTAATTCTTTGGTTACTTTCTGAGATTTGCAAGTCGTATTATTAGAACACTATTAACTATAATACTGAGCATCTAATTTTCTATAGTATCCTTTTGTCCCAAACAACAACAATATTCAGATTCTTCTTCACAAGTACAATATGTAGTAGTGGCCACCCCTTTGACAACCACCCGGAAAGAACAGAGTCACCGTAATGAGTTGAATAGACTGTTTATCTCATTGAGTTGACTCAGTCAGTGATTTTGTAATGGAAGGGTAAAATTGGTATTTCAGTTTTAAAAATTGATGACCTCATCAATTCAATCTACCAATAAACTGTGATTTAACAGAATAGTGATTATAAACCTTAAGGGAGTCCGATGTAATTGTGCTAAACCTATGGAGCTAGTTGTATTTTTGTCAAATATCATGGGAGGATGATGTAATTTACCCTTTGTTTTTTTTTAAAAAAAATTATTTTAAGTTTGTTAAGATAGCGAATATTACATTATAAAAAATGACAATTGGACAATTGAAATGTAGAGAGGGATGGGATGTTCTTCCCTGAAAGAAGAAAAAACAACTAGAGACTAAACCCCAAAGAAAGAATTTCTTCTGCACCAAACCTTGAAATATCACAGAGGATAAGAAATACCTTTAAAAGGCTATATAGTAATTTTTGATCTGTTGGTACCTGCTTTGAATACTCAAATAATTTTATAATGTACAATGTGATACTCCAGGAATAGTCTTGATGATTATAATGTATGCTTTTGTTGTAACAGGCCTGGTTGCAAAATTGACAGATGATCAAAATATGAGATGTTGAAGCTATTGCTTACCTTATTCATCGGGACTATGCAGCTATAGTGAAAGATTTTGTCAAACTTGATTTCATTCCAGATGGGGTTAATTTGGAACCCATCTTGCCTATTTTGGCCAAGTCTTTTGATCAGGCACTTGAAGGTGGTGGAGCGAAAAATATCAACTTTCAGGAGCAGTCGTTAGATTTGGCGCAGATAACATTTGACTATCCATTTAGGATTCCACCTTATTTTGCTCTTATAATTAGAGCAATAGGGGTGTTGGAAGGCATAGCTTTGGTGGGGGATCCTGATTTTGCTATCATAGATGAAGCTTATCTATATATTGCACAGGTGTGGAAATACTATAGCTGTTAGCCCAATCGATTTTATATCATAAATATAAGCACATGAGAATGTATGTGCTAGGTGATCCCAAAATGTGATGCAATCAAATTGGTATTTCAAATCATACAATGTTGCTCCTAGATTGGATGACTAACTAACTAACTGTCTTTCGTAGATTACATTATTCATATTACTTGTAAGATTGTAAATAATTCTAAAACCTAATATAATCAAATTTCAACAAACATAAGGAATCCAAATTGAACCAAATTCAAAGTTATTATATGGGGTAGCTAATTTTTTCTAATTGCATCATCTAATCAACTTGGCTAATATTTGAGGGGGAAATTTTTCACAAAAAAAGTTATTTAAAAAATTTCCAGCATCCTCAATGATGATGTTCATTGTGTAATCATTTTTGAGGTTCATATATAAGGCCTCGTTTGAGAACATGCTATTTTAGCAACTTTTTGACTTTTTACGAAAAGATGGGTAAAAAAGTAGAAAGAGTGATGTAACAACTTATAGTGACTTTTTAACTTTTCGGCTAAAATACTTCGTTCCCAAACGAGGCCTAAATCTCTAGTTTAGCTACCCTTAAAACAAATACCTAATATGTTATTTTTAGTGCCAATCTGGGTTGGTAATTGGTAGCTAATATAGTTTGTTGGAGTATTTTTGTTCTGAGACTTGAACCATGGGATGCATTTGTTCATAAAAAATACTGTATGCACTTTGCCTTGTTCAATAACCAATTGTGCATTACTAGTTTATTTCACCGACATTTTTGATGTAATATACTGTTCTTACGTTTTTTATGGATATTGGTCTAGATTGAAGTTTACTATACCGTTTCTTATTTCTTTTCATTTTATTTATATATTTTGATTGTAATGTCAGAGGCTCCTGACCGATGAATCACCATGTCTAATGAGTTCTTTACGCTACACAATATATGGAAAATTTGGAGTTTTTGATGCTGAAAGATTCATAGATGTTATGCAAGCCTTTGAGAATTTCATAACCGCAGCCAAAAGTGGAGGTGGTGAGGATCTGAACGGGGATATGACTGAGCTTGGTATTCTGCAAATTCAAAGACGCAATGCCCCTGTATTTCCATTTCCATTTAGTTCATCTCAATCAGAGCAGCCAATTCAAACAAGAGCAGCCTTAGCATTTCTATTGTCAGAGAAGGGCAACTTTTTTCGAGAATTTCTTTTGGATGAGGTATTTCTAATAGTAACTTGTGTATACATCAAACTTATAGCAGCTTCATTTTCCATTTAGCATAGACTCTCTACATGTTTCACAACACTATGTTCAATCTTACGTATCACTGTAAGAATTGTTTTGATGTAAAAAATGAGAAAATGAAGTTACTAAACATATCTAGTTTGTGGTTGAAGAACAAAAAACTTTAAATTTAATTGAATAATATGATTCATTTGCACAAGGTATCATTCAAAGCATGCCTTTTTTTTTCTTTCTTTTTTTTTTCTTTTTTTATCTCCGTTCAACTGATGGTTCAATCATATGTTTCTCGAGCAAAAAGTTCAATACTAAAATTGCTATTTCAAGATGTGCACATTTTGAATTGATAGTGATATGTGTGTTACGATGATGCCTCCAATAGAGATTGTATCTGAGTAATTTGATATCAATTGAGTGATGAATAGTGTGCTACTGGAGTAACTGGACTTAATGGTGTTACATAAGTGTCGTGATTCTTGAGATTTTCAGATAGACTAAAATTCAAAAACCTGAAGTAAACCTTTGGCTTGTATTCAGCCAAGTTGTCCCAGAATGGGTATCTTAGATTTTGTTTAGTAATCTTTACTATGGTGCTGGGAATGTCAATGTGGTTGATGAAGTCATCTCTATCTCATACTTGAATTGATTGCTAAAAAGTTGAAGTGAAGTCTTTGTTTTACAATGAATAATCTACATTGTCTAAGTAGGGATTTAATATTGTGTGTTTCGTTAAAATGATTGATAAATGGAGGTTCTTTCCATTGGTGTTTTTTTTGGGGAAGGGGGCTAATTTTGTTGGCTTCTCCTTAATTTCCTGTGACTATGTTGTTTCAGATTCTTAGGGTTGAACAGAATGCAAGTTAACGTGAAATTCAGAAAGCTTTTCACAAGTATGTTTTCTCTATAATATTATTCTTGTTATCCTATAATACTCAGCCTTTAATCATATTATGGTTTTGTAACGTTGTTTCTCATTTTATTCTTCACATTGATTGAAGATTGAAGTTTACTATACCGTTTCTTATTTCTTTTCATTTTATTTATATATTTTGATTGTAATGTCAGAGGCTCCTGACTGATGAATCACCATGTCTAAGGAGTGCTTTACCCTACACAATATATGGAAAATTTGGAGTTTTTGATGCTGAAAGATTCATAGATGTTATGCAAGCCTTTGAAAATTTCATAACCGCAGCCAAAAGTGGAGGTGGTGAGGATCTGAACGGGGATATGACTGAGCTTGGTATTCTGCAAATTCAAAGACGCAATGTCCCCATATTTCCATTTCCATTTAGTTCATCTCAATCAGAGCAGCCAATTCAAACAAGAGCAGCCTTAGCATTTCTATTGTTAGAGAAGGGCAACTTTTTTCGAGAATTTCTTTTGGATGAGGTATTTCTGAAAGTAACTTGTGTTTACATCTAACTTATAGTAGCTTCATTTTCCATTTAGCATAGACTCTCTATATGTTTCACAACACTATGTTCAATCTTATGTATCACTGTAAGAATTGTTTTGATGTAAAAAATGAGAAAATGAAGTTACTAAACATATCCAGTTTGTGGCTGAAGAACAAAAAACTTTAAATTTAATTGAATAATATGATTCATTTGCACAAGGTATCATTCAAAGCATGCCCTTTTTTTTAATCTCCGTTCAACTGATAGTTCAGTCATATGTTTCTCGAGCGAAAAGTTCAATATGAAAATTGCTATTTCAAGATGTGCACATTTTGAATTGATAGTGATATGCATGTTACGATGATGCCTCCAATAGAGATTGTATCTGAGTAATTTGATATCAATTGAGTGATGAACAGTGTGCTACTGGAGTAACTGGACTTAATGGTGTTACATGAGTGTCGTGATTCTTGAGATTTTCAGATAGACTAAAATTCAAAAACCTGAAGTAAACCTTTGGCTTGTATTCAGCCAAGTTGTCCCAGAATGGGTATCTTAGATTTTGTTTAGTAATCTTTACTATGGTGCTGGGAATGTCAATGTGGTTGATGAAGTCATCTCTATCTCATACTTGAATTGATTGCTAAAAAGTTGAAGTGAAGTCTTTGTTTTACAATGAATAATCTACATTGTCTAAGTAGGGATTTAATATTGTGTGTTTCGTTAAAATGATTGATAAATGGAGGTTCTTTCCATTGGTGTTTTTTTTGGGGAAGGGGGCTAATTTTGTTGGCTTCTCCTTAATTTCCTGTGACTATGTTGTTTCAGGTTCTTAGGGTTGAACCGAATGCAAGTTAACGTGAAATTCAAAAAGCTTTTCACATGTATGTTTTCTCTATAATATTATTCTTGTTATCCTATAATACTCAGCCTTTAATCATATTATGGTTTTGTAACGTTGTTTCTCATTTTATTCTTCACATTGATTGACATTTTTTTTAAGCAAAAGCATCAATTTATTGTCTTATGTTTTGGAGCTGACTTTTTTTAAACATATAAGTGAAAATGTTGGCTTGAATGGTTGTGTTCTGGTCAACTTGATAAAGCTAAAGATGCATCTTTATGCACAAACTCTGCTTTTGCTTTTCTTGATAAAGCTAAAGATGAATCCACAATCAATACGGTCAGAAACCAAAAGGAATTTTAAAAAAGAAATTAAACCCAATGCTATTCCCATATCAAAAGCATCCAAAGACTCTCTCTTTCTCTCTTCCTCTGTGTTTGTGGCAGCTCAGTTGAATTCCTTAAAATCACCACTTTCTAAGTTCAACAAATCTTCCATTAATAGCTGCTTTTGAACCGGATATGAGGCTTCTCTTCATCTTCTCTCTCCTCTTCATCTTCCCCACACCTTCCTCATACCAAATTGCATTTTATAGTTTTCTTACTCTATCTTCCCTATATGTAGATTTTTAAGGTGAGATATATGTAACTTTTCTCCCACTTTTGCATGTAATACTATTTGGGACTTTCACTGAGGATGAAACCAGGTCATGGCTCAAACAGTCATCTGAAAAGACTGAGAAACATAGGGAAAAGAAAGAATTGGAAGTTGGTTCTTCAAATGTTGTGATTGGATTATCTTTTTGGTGGCAATTTGGATTTAATGTTACCTTGCATTGACTTATATTTGGTGATTTTTTTTTTTTGAGTACTTATATTTTGTGTAGTACAAATCTCATGATATGTGCAATTATATTGGATATATAAAAATTGTGATTGGCTTAATGCATGGTTGGCATATGGATATGTAAATTTGAGCCATTTATGCTTTTAGTTAAATTCTCAAGCTGCCATTAAATTCTCTCTCTCTTTTTTTTTCTTTTTTTTTTGGAGGAATTAGTTAAATTCTTTGGTTTATGCTGTGTAAAAATTTTTTTAAAAAAAAACGTGGTGTTTCTGAGAAAACGCCACTAAATGACATCATTATGACATCATATGACAGAAGGAGAAATGGATGTTAAAGATTTTGCGGCGTTATAAAAAACGCCGTCTAATATTTTTAGCGATGTTTTTTGAACATTGTAAAGCTATTGCGGCGGCCATATCAGTGACAAAAATATTAAACATCGATATAAGTTTTTACGGCATTTTTTAGGCTTTTATCAGCGTTTTAAAAATGCCACTACAACTCAAATTTCTTGTAGTGACTTGCTAGAATCTCTACTCTCGTGAAGACGAGCTCAAAGAATCAAAAAACAAAATCCTCCGCCTCTTGTTTGGAAGTGTAGTTCTAGGCAAGTACTCTGCCGAGGCAAACCCTTATCCACGATACTGCTCAAAGCTTGATGAACAGGGTTCATGAGGAGTTGGCACACCTCAGCATTGTCCCAATTTGTGTGTTTCCTATTGGTGAAAATTAAAACGTTTTTCAGCCGAATTCCAAAGTTTGAGATATATTCTTTCACCATATTCAGATGGAGGGCATCAAGAGCTTATTTGAGTTCGAAGAGAAGTTCAGGCTGGTAATCGCAACAAAGAGATACCCTCAACGAAATATTTTTGTCTCCTCCGGTACTTGGCTCAGGCTCGACTCTTACGTCGGTAGCATCTATTGAAATAATTGAACCTTTACTAGATTTTGTTGCGGCTTTTTCACTTGTTTCACTTGGCTTATAACTTCCACAAGCAATGTAAGCTCAAATCACATCATGGAAATTACTATGAACAGTAAAGTTTTTCTTACTCCTATTAAAAAAACTATTTAAAAAAAATGAAATCATTTTTCTGTTTACTTGACATACATGTATGCATTCAATAAACTTGTACTGTGGATTCACAAATCACAACAACATATAATCAGGGACAATATCAAAATACACCTGCAGGAATTATTATTATTTAAAATTTTAAAAAAAACCCTAGTGTATTGATAAGGAAAACAATTCATGGAAATCAACTTCTTGCAGACAATATTTCTTTCTCTCTCAATGAAATGATTGAGAAGTTATTGATTATCATGTTTTTTGTCATTAATTAAAAAAATAATATATTTTAGTTAACTTTTATATTGGCCTTGTTTGAAAAGTGAGTAATTTTAATTGATTATTTAGCTGTTTTAGTCTGGCTAAAATAGTTGTGTTTGGAAAGATAGTTTGTTTTTTTTAGTCGCTTTGATGTTTGTAAAAAAAAAAAAAAAAAAAAAAAAAAAAAAAAAGTGAAATGATTATGGGTTGAATATAATATTGTCTTATTGACTATTTTAACCATTTTTTTGTTTTTATTAAATTTACTCACAAATTTACAAAGATTTATAATTTAAGGTCAAAATAATACTTGCAGAAATAAGAATAGGAAACATAATAGAGTCCTAATTAAACTTCTTTTGTTAATATTTAGGAATTTCCATCTCTGGTAGAAATAAGATTGAGAAATAAACTAATTCTATAATCTCTCTATATATAAAGTGTGACAACCCGACCCTCTCATATGCCTTAAGTCTTTAATTATTTGTGTGAATATATGCTTGATGTGAAATTACATGTTTATATATGACTATGAAATTGTATCTGTCGGTTATAAGAAAATCTATTGAAATTACGTCCTTTGGACTGAAAATTGAAAATCTTAGAGGCATGATAAACTAAAACCGACCACATAGATATGATCAGCATGATTTTTAGAGTCATTTGAGAAGTTTAATTGAAATTTGATTTCGACTGATTCGTTAAGTCATGTTTGGCTCTTATCATTGATGTAAGCTTTGGATACAGATTTTATGAGACAAGGTATAGATATAAGAGTTATGGGCCTTATAGAGAGAGAGACTCAACAAAGAAAGGAAAAGAAAAAAATCTGGAAAGAAGAGAGAGAACCAAGAGGGAAAGAAGAAAAGCTCAAGATTGAAGAAGAAGCATGGGAAATTGAAAGACTTGAAGTAGAATTCAAGAGATTGACTCAAGGTATGTAGAAATCAACTTAACTTCTTGGGATTAACCTATTATTTGTTTGAATTCATGACTCAAGATGAAGATTAAACATCTAATTGAGTTAGGGTTTTCAAGTACAAGCCTAAATGAGCTCTCTTCATGGAATTGAATCTTGATTCCTTAGATTTGCTTGATTTAAGAGTCAATTTCATTATATTTTCTTATCTAGAAGTTGATTATGAGAAGTTGAGCCTTAATCTTGAGGTTTTGTATGGTTGATTACATATGAAATGAAGATCTATGTGAATATGGCAGAAGAAGTTTTGAAAAAGTTTGAAAAAGAACTAAATAAGGAGATTGATCTTCCTTACTTGAAGATTCATTGTATCTTTGATGTTTTGATTTAGAAAACAATCATAATATCATGTTTTCCATTAGTTTTACAGGATTTTGAGTGATTTGAGTTGAAACCTAGCTTGGAAAATGAAAGAACAAGTGTTAGAGCCAACAAATATTTTCGGCAGCAAATTTTGCCCAGAGCCGCACATGCGGTGGGGCTTCCTGCACGTGCGGGAGTCTACTTCCAGCAACATTTTTTATTCTGAAACGAAAGCACCTACTCCTGTACATGCCCTGATTTTCCCGCAAGTACGGTTTTGCTCCCGCGCGTGCGGAACCCCCCTGTTTCAGCTCAACTTCCGATGGCCATATCTCCCTCATCCGGACTCCGTTTTAAGTGATTCTTCAGCCTAAATTCAAGCCCCAAAAGTCTAGTTTCCAATGGTGGTAGTCTCACATCCAAATTTTGAGTACCCAAATAGATATGTTAAAATTAGTGAAGATTGTTCACTTTCTTTTTAATCGTTTTATGATATTTCTTCTCCTAACGCAGTTTCTTTTCGTTTCTTCCTATTTTCCTGGACACGGATTATGACCCATTGAGGACTAACGAGTTTAAAGCCAATGTAAATAATTGGTTGAGGAGCAAAGTATAGGATTGGTTTATTTGATTAAGAATCATGAGAGTAATTCCATGTTTCGCTATGTTGTGCTATGCGCATTGTGATTGCAGGTCAAGATGCAAGGGCCAGCAAACCATTTCTGGAAACCACTATGAGTAATAATATTGTAAAGATATGTTCACCTATATTTATTTTGATATATAAATGATGTGATTTTCAAAAATTATGCTTTATTCGAATGAATGAGTTTCAAGGAATTGTAATACGGAATACGGATATAAAGTGTGAATTGTTCATGCTATGATAAGTGCGCTCAAGCACGTTCCGTTTATCCATTCCAGTTATGCTATGATGTGATATGAATTGTTCGACCTTTAAGACCTATTGATTTCTAGTATGGAACTAAGTGTTGTACGGAACTAAGTCACCTCTAAAATCTGTATGTGTCACCTCTTGGGTCCAGACATACATGAATTGGGCCCAAGGAGAGGTGGAGACATGTCGATGTTTCATTTACTCCATGGTAAGATACAATGATACGATACGATACATTTTGACCTAAGGTCA